GTTCTCCTACCTATGTCTCCCATGTAGCTGGTATTACAGACATGAGTCACAATGCCTGACTTATTGGTTGAGATGGGGGGGTCTTGCTAACTTTTTGCCCAGGCTGGCTTTCAACCTCAGTTTCTGCCTGTTGAGTAGCCGGAATTACAGGCGTGCACCTTCATGTCCGGCCTTGTTTTGGGGTTTCTATTTCTTTCTTTCTGTGGTTTCAGAATTCTCAACCTTGCTTAATATTTCCATGAGCAAATATCAAAACATTTCTTTTAGAATATCCAGACTTTTGTATGTCTGTTGTTACTTGATGTTAATTCGTATTGTTTTATCTTCTCATGGACCTGATTATTTTTTATTTTCGTACACACTTACATATATTTACATATATATGCATACTTTTTTTAGTGCTGGCTATTAAACTTTGGGTCTTGTGCATGCCAGACAAATGCTGTACTGCTGAACTACCTGCCAGATCATTAAAAACTGTTTTTTTTTTTTAATAGCAATTTGAGGCCTAGTCAAATATCTTTCCTCTGAATTGCCCTTATTCCTAAGAGGTAGTCCTTAAAGTCTCTACTAAAAATAAAGGATGCTCACCAGGGTGGTTCTACTCCTTGCTGAAGTAGTCTGTCTTTGAATTTGAAGGCTGTCAGAAGGCATTCAATCTCCCAGTTACTGCTCTGGCCTGGTAGGTGCCTCCAGGGGAAGTGGTCCCAAATGCCAGTCTCATCTTCCTGTATCTCTATCCTTGCCTGAAACCCTCTCAGTAAATATTTACTGTCTAGTTAATTTTCCACTACCTTCAAGGTGATGTTTAAAATATGTATCTGGCTTTTTTTTTTTGTCCTCACCAAGAGGCGTGATCCAAGTTACCTAATCCTCCATTGTTGGAAATAGAAAACTGTCTCTAGAGTTCTTGGTAGAAAGGATTGGTAGTCCATTTTCCTTAGTATTTAAGTTAATTTAGTTAAGGTTCTGCTTTCATGGGAAAATCCCATATAATTGGTATAAGAAGCGGTTCTTTGTAACCCTTAATATGTGATGGTAGAACTGCTTGTGAAGGCCAGAGAAAGGATTGTGTTTATGAGGCCTGTTTGTTTATGACACTGGATATTTGGAGGACTACTGTAACTACTTTCTTAGATTATCATTGATAAATATGAAACTGGAGAACTGAATATATCATATGTAGTTTATTTTGCATAATATTACATATCAGTTACAAAATTCATTCTGACCATGATAAGATTTGCACAAATAGACAAATGGTTTCTGTGATTCTTAAATCCCATAGAGGAGGAAGTTCCGGAAAAGGATATTGGCAAATGCAACCCAGGGGCTCATAATTTGAGTTAGAAAGTTCTTTCAGTATCTAATACATTATATTTAAGCCTATTCATATTCAGTCATCCTAGAAATAGAAAACAGTTAATGGGTCATAGTATGGTTTCATTACAGTGTAGGATTCAGCAAAGGTGATTTGTGTATTTGTTCAGTAGGTAGTGAGTAGGCCCTATTGGCAGGATATTCTTGATATCTGGTAGGAAATGAGACTAAACAAGGTAGATTGGAGCTGATTGTGTAACACCTTAATAAGTTGGAATGTTTTGACTTTGTCTTGTATAGGAGCTTTTGAGTGAGAGTGAGAAGTCACATTTAAAAAAAAATTTATCTGGTAATAACTTTGTGAGCTGGCCAAGAGAGAAAAAATATTGGAAGCAGGGGTAGCAAAAGCTCTAATAATTTTCTATTTAGAGGTGGTAAAAGCCTGACTTTTTATGGTGAGTAGGAATGAAGAGAATGGGTAGGTTTTAAAGGAATGGTATTGATGTTTATAAATAGGAACTTGAGAGAGAGACCAGAGAAGGCTTTGAGGTTCTTAGTATGGATGAATGGCATTATGATACTGGTATTAATTCTAGAAGCTGGAAAGTCAAAATGTTGAAAACAAAGATGAGGGGCTGGAGGTGTGGCTCAAACAGTAACGCTCCTGCTGTTCAAGTGTGAAGTCCTGAGTTCAAACCCTGATCACCCCCACCTCCGAAAAACCAGAACAAAACCCTAGGATGATGAATTTGTTTTAAGATAATTTGAATATAGGTTGATGATAGACCTGTTTAATATAATGACAGATAAGGGGCTAGAAAATGAGAACTGAATTATTTTAGGAATGTGCTGATTTGATTATCTAAACAATTTTTTGTATTTTTTTAAAAGAAAATTTAACAATAAGGTATATGTTGTCCTGTGGTTGGGACTACATATTGCTTCTCCAGAATTTATACTACTTATAGTTTATTTTTTGACTCTAGGCATATGTAAACATATCTGTGTAATATATTATTCATTTTGCAAGGGGAGTGGACTTACTTTATCCTTTCTGGTTTATATTAGAGAGTTTACTCATGGATGTTTAGCCTAGTTCTGATTTTTTCACTTTTTATTAAAGATGATGTTATGTAGTTATGTTTGGATATATGATAAACATTTTTGGTGGAATAAATTCCTATAATTGGGTAAGGGAATAAGCAGATTTATTGTTTTAATATGAATAACTTTCCAAAAAGAGTAGTATTGAGTTTTATGTGCAAATTATCAATGTGATTGTTTTTTTTTTCAAATTCAGATTTGAATTTGGGGCCTTGTGCTTGCTAGGCAAGTGCTCTTATCACTTGAGCCGTAATCCCAGTTCTACAATGTGATTTTTTTTTTTTAGGAGAAAGTATATCATGTACTTTGAGTGTGGTATCTGTTAGTAGTGTATAATAAGCTAGCTTTATTAGTTACCCAGATTAACATACAAAAAGGCAGTGAAATTGTAGTTGTTGTCTCTGAACTGGAAAAATTCTCTTAGCTTGGGAAAATATAAAATCTGTCTTAGTCCTTTTGGGAGGTCATAACCAGATACTGTAGAGTAGGTGGCTTAAAGAACAGAAATATGTTTCTCACAGTTCTGAAGGCTATGAAGTCTAAGATCAGGATACCAGCAAATTGGTGTCTGGTGAGGCACCACTTCTGGGTTGCAGACAGTTGTTTTGTATCTTCACATGGTAAAGAGGGCAAGCTCTAGTTTCTTGCTCTTAGGGACACTAACTCTGTTATGGGGGCTCTACCCTCTAGACACCATCAGAGGCCCTAGCTCCTGATAACCATCCTGTCGGGGCCTTAGGGCTTTAACATTTGAATTTTAGGGAGGACTATGTATGTGTGCAATTCATAAGAACTAGAATTGAAGATGAGGTTGGTGTTTGAGAAAGGGATATTTTGAAATTGGCTAAAGTTCTGGAGAGTACTTCTAGTAGATTTCAGTGCCAAAAGGGAAAGAAAGCATTCTAATTTTACTTTCCAGAAATATTCAGGTCTTACTAAATTTCATTTCCAAAGGGACTAATTCTCATTTTAAAGTGGGAATCAATGGGAAAATTTACTTCACTGTATACTTAACTGGAATGAAAAAAAAATTCAGTTCTGAAATCTTCTTTTACTGTAGTAGAATTTAAAGGGTAATTTTTTACTATCCTAAATAAAAACCCGTGCTTCAGGCTTTCAGCAAATTAAAACCAAAACCATATAATACTTTTTGTTGCTGTTATTGAAAAGTATGAGATAGGTTTATTGTATGTTTCTATCTTAGAAGTTAATTTGAGTCAAGGAGCAGAATGAAAAGTACATGGCAGTTTTATGATCCAGTTCTTAATTCTGTTGTAAATTTTCTTATTGTGCTGGGGTACATTGTAGAATTTACAGAGTTCTTACAATGTATCAAATATATCATACTTGAATTTACCCCCTCCATTATTTCCTTTAACTCCCCTCCTCCCATTCTTGGAATAGTTTCAACAGGTCTCATTTTTCCATCTACATTCAGGTATACACAGTATTTGCACCATGTTCACCCTCCTACACCCTTTCCTCACATCATCCCCCTCCCACTGGTACCAGCCCCTAAGACAGGACCTGTTCTGCCCTCCTGATTTCCAGTTTTGTGAAAGAAAAAGATTTTTCTTTACTTAAGGTAGCTAGCTATACAGGCAGTTTCCTTGTGACATTTCCATGTATATATGTATTATAATCCACATTAGTTCATCTCCTCTATTTTTCTTCTACTTTAGTCCTCTTCTTATGGGAATATGGACCTAATACAAATATAACAATATTATGAAAAAGCTTACACTAAGGGGAAGTCACTAGGAGAGGGGGAGGGTAAAAGAAGGAAATTAAGGTGAATATCATTAATGTACTCTCTATACAAGAATGAATTTTTAAACCTGTAAACGTATATCTTAACAGATATTTTGCCCTCTGTACTTACAGATGTTGAATCCTAGTGCATGTTTAAAATGAGAGTAAGGAATGAAGTTTCCTTGAAGGACTTTCCTCTTCCTTAGAGTATAATTTCACAGGAAGCCAAAGCAATCCCAAGTTTAGCTTAAAGGTCTTCTTATGTAATATGTAGACATTTTTCATTTATCAGAGATGATATATTTCAAGCAAGACTGGTTAATTTAATGAATGCTTTGCATAGGCCAAAGATCTTCTTATAAGAGAATGTAGTTAATGATACCCTATGACTAAGCAAGAATGCTATGAGTGGGGATATAGCGGTAAAAATAGAGAAGATACCCATCTGTCTATCTGTGTCTATAGTTATGGTGGTCTAGAGAAAGGTAAGGGATGTTAAAGGCAATAGAACTGTTTTTGTTAAGATGTTTGTTTTTATAATGTCATGTTTTCATAATTTTTTGCTTCTAGAAGCAATAAACATTTAGTTAACATAATATGGGGTCAGTGCTTTGAGGGATGGGTGAGGTAATTTAGTTTCCTGTTCTTAGCTCCTATGTGCATAACACATAGGAGGTGATCAATATTTATGTGTTGATTGATTCCTCATCTGCATCTGCCACCTGAGTGCAGTTTGCCTTATGTCAGATAAAAGACCTTTCATAGCATTAATCACTGTAGCATTAATCACAGACTTAGTAGTTCCCGAAGGTCATCTTTGTGAAGACTGTGATTCTCTTTATCCACTTAGCAAGTTTCAAATGCCTTTTCCTTTGATTTAGGAGTATGCATTTGACCAGTCCACCCTTGAAGTTTCACACAGTAGCTTCAGAAAACGTGCCTGGTTTATGAATCCAAGGTAACTAAACTGGAAAACTCTAGACTTATCATGTAGTAAGGTTAGTACTAGAAGATGTGATTGATGGTCGTAGCATCTCTGCATGGTAGTAAAGAAAAAATCTGAAGCTATGATTACTACCTTCGTTCTTGCATTTTGTTTTATGAACAATTAGAAATTAAAAACAGGACTTTGTAATAAAAATGCTGAGGAGAATAATAAATGATTAAAAATTTCGGTAACACCAAAAGAAACTTCAGTTTACTGTTCATTAATTATGTGTATTTTTCTATGCAGGTATAATTTGGCATCCTGAGAGTCTGCCTTAGCAAGAAAGACGTGGGAAATAATCCTGAAAAGAAAACTGAAACAATAAGAAAGACACAACTTATTTTTTATGGTTGTCAGCTTCCTTACAAATATGGACACTTTTCCCAACATTTTTCCACCTGGTGGAGACAGTATGTTAAATGCTGAATCTGAACTGCAGCAAGTGTTAATTGATGAAAGGGTACGATGTGAACATCATAAAACGAATTATCAGACTCTGAAAATTGAACATACAAGGTAATTGCTTAAATTTAAAAACAAGGCAAGAGGTTGGGTGATTTAAAGAGTTATTGGATCTGTCTTGACTGTTTGCTCTAAAACATACTAGAACTGTTACTTTGCAGTAATTCATTTAACACTTTTCTTCTTTTTTAAGTTGTACTGGAGTTTGAAATCAGGACCTTGAGTTTACTAGGCAGGCAGCTTATTATTTGAGCCACGCCTTTAGGTATTTTTCAAATAGACTCTGGCATATATTCCCTGCTGGCCTGACTGTGATCCTATTTTCACTTTGTCGTAGCTGGGATGACAGACTCATGCCACCATGCCCAGCTTTTTCATTGTTTGAGATGGTCTCTTTTTGCTTGAGTTTGGCATCAACCCAGAATCCTCCCAATTAGCACTTTTAATACATTAAATTTTTTGCTTTAAAATTACTTTGTCTATTAAATCAAGTAGATTGTGAATTTATAAGGTCTTATATTAAAAATGGCAAGGTATATAATATTAAATATATTCAAGTGGCTAAGTGTGTTTTTTCCCTTAAAGTAAAATATCATTTAGGAACTACTGTGCTAATAATTAAATGGAATTTTCTAGAGAAAAGATATTTACAAGTTTAATGGAATTTCTAATGTTAGTCTTGTTTTTCTGTAATATTGCAATTAGAAAGCAAAGGATACACTTAAAATTAAATTTTTCTTTTTTAAAAAAAAATTAGGTTGCAGGAGGAGTACAAAAAATCACAAAATGAACTTAAACAACTGTTAAATGAAAGGCAAAGTAACCAGGAAAACTTCCAGTTGCTATTGGAAGACATAAGAAGGGACTTAGTAGAAAAAACTAAAGACTTGGAAGAAGCGAAATTGCAGGTGAGAAAATATGTTTGAGTTTGTATAAAAATAGTCAGATGGCTAGTACAAATAAGTAGCTTTGATAAATATGTTGAATTCTTTCTGTATGCTTACTGATTATTTTACTGTATTTCTAGTTGATATAATCAAATCTTTTGTATATTTTAGAACATTTGCTATCATGTAAGGTGGGCATGTAACCACTTTATGTAAATTGATATTATATTACCTACTCTGAAATATTTCACCATTCAGAATAGTAAAGGAAAAGGCCAGTTTGAATTGATTAAAATTCAAGATTAAAGAATTTTAAAAAAATGTTCTAATACTGGTATATGTATTGCCACTTAAACTATTAGAAAAGGTTGATAGCTATTTTTTAAGGAGCTTCTTGAAGGAGACTGAAACCAATATGAACACATACTTTATGTGCACATTGTAAATGAGTTTCTAAAGCAAAAGTCAGTTGCTATGAAAGAGGTAAACTGCTGTTTCTTTAGATGCCTTTCAGTGTTCATTTGCTGAAAAGTAGAGAAAGGCTAAACTTCAGCTTGTCAAATTTTATATAAATTTCAAATTTCTTTTTTTTTTTCTGGTACTGGGATTTGAACTCAGGGCCTACACCTTGAGCCGCTCCACCATCCTTTTTTGTGTTAGCTATTTTTAAGATAGGGTCTTGTGGAATTAATTGCCCGGGGCTGGCTTCAAACCGCGATCCTCCTTATCTGTGCCTCCTGAGTAGCTAGGATCACAGGCTTGAGTCACTGGCGCCCGGCTTGCTTCGTATTAATGAATAATGTTTTTAATGTTCCTTTGTACTCTCAGTAGCATCAGATACAGAATGTGCTTAGTGCAAATAATAAGGTATTTAAGTCTAAGTTCATAGAGTAAGAAGGCATTTTTCAAGTTATGTAGTTAGGCATGTCACGTAACTTACAGATTTCCTTTGACTGGCAGCCTGAGAAGCTTGTCACGTACATATCTTCCTGAAGTCTTTCATTGTTCTAAGCCTGTGTTGGAACTTCCACTATGCTTATTGTTTCATCCCTCGGTAGATTTTAGACATTTAAGCAAATGAGAAAACTTAAGAACTATTACTTGTAGAGGGAAATGTAAACTTAATCTTATAGAATCAGTGGATTAATTTGTTTTATAAAAATTGAGAGGACTATATGAATGGAAGCAGTGCTAAACCAGAGGCATTTGAGACGTTCTTTAGGCATTTAATTTTTCTTATCTCTTGAGAGTAACATCTAAACATGTTTAATTGTTCCAAGCACATACAGAAATAAGCTTAAGAAGTCTGAAATGGCTGTGTTAGTATCAGATAAAATAGATTTTCAAAACAGAGTTTATCACTAATTGTAAAAGGAGATTGTTAATGAAAAAGGATCAATTTATCAAGAAGATGATGACCTTCAACAAGTGACCTACTCTCTATGCCTTAGGTTTCTCATGTGGTAAAGATCACAGTGTTTCTACCTAACTGGTTGTTGTGAGAACTAGTGATCACATGCACATTTTTACACTTGTACCTTGCATATAGTAGATGCTCATAAATGATGTCATCTTATTTCTACTTGAATGCAGGCTCCATAAGGGCAGGTACTTGTTTTCAGTGTGACTGCAGTGTTTAGGACAGTGCCTAGAAAATACATATTTGTTGAATGAACAAATAAATGGAATAAATAATGAAATTGATTTTGATATGCTATCTTTATATAATATAATATTGGACTCACTGTTTCATACATGCCTAGAGCCTCAGGATCTTAGTGATGATAGCCGTCTAGTTTTCTTTCATAGCTCTTTGGGGTTGAGTTGTGCCCAGAAGGATATGTTGAAATTCTAACTCCTAGGGCCTCAGAATGTGATTATATTCGGAAGTAGGGTCATTTCAGATATAATTAGCTGTTGATGAAGTCATATTGGAATATGGTGAACCTTTAGCTTAATATGACTGGTGTTCTTACATGAGAAGAAATGAGACATGTAGAAAGACACAAGAGCTTCCAGGGAATGCTGTGATGTGTGGAGGCAGCTGCTTGCCAGCGTACCTCCTAAGAAGTGGCAAGGAAGGATCTTCTAGGTTTCAAAGGGAGAAAGGCCTTGCCTAGTACCTTGATGTCAGACTTTGAGCTTCCAGAACTCTGTGAGACAATAAATTTTTTCTTGGTTTTAGTCACTTAGTTTTTCTAGTTTTCTTCTGGCAGCCTGAGAAAACTAATACACTGTCCATCATTTTCAACCCAAGACTCTTCATTTGCTGTCTTCAGTGCTAGAGAATTTAGTTAAATTTTTTTCTTTGTTTTGAGAAGGGACCTAAAGAGGTGGGGCAGGGGGGCCTTGAGGATCACTGTGTTGCCCTAGCTGAACTTGAACTAGATTTCATTCTGCCTCCACCTCCAGAGTAGCCAGGATTATAGGTGTGAACCACCACACCTGGCTATCTAGTGAACTTTTAAAAGTAACACATTTCCATTTATGGATTGGAGTATGTTAAATATTTTCTCTGTTATATTGAGATGAAATAACATCTACCCTTTTTCCTCTGTGTTCTTACACTGTTTCTAAAAGAACTTTGGATGTTCCTGCGTGTTATAACCTCCCAAATGTTCACTGACAAATGTATTATATATAGTAAAGTTTTTGGGTTTTGATATAAACGTATCTGGTTTCCGATATTTTTTTGGTGGTGCTGGGGTTTGAACTCAGGCCCTTGTGCTTACAAGGCAGGTGCTCTGCCACTTGAGCCACTTTGCCAGCCCTTCTATCTGAAATTTATCTGGCAAGAAATGTGCTAAAGAAACATCATGTATACACAAAGCAATTTAGCTGTTTGCTTAATGGATGGTTGCAATTTGTACAAATTGTAAGTTAAGAAAACTTCAGTAAATTTAACAGTAAGATCAAATATTTCAGTGGAGGTTTATGAAAGATGCTTATTTTTAAAGTACAAAAGACATTTGCGTAAGGAATATTTTTGCATCAATACTGAGTGAGTAGGAATAATAGTATGCTAGCTCATAGGATTATTATAAAGATATAATGAGATCTTGCATAGACAGTGTTAGTATAATACTTTGACATACTAGTGAACAGTTCACATTAGCTATTATTATTACAGATCGAGAATTCCTTATCAGAAGTGCTTGGAACCAGAAGTGTTCAGATTTTGGAGTTCATTGATTGAGCATACCTAATCTGAAAATCTGAAATCTGGGGCTGGATGTGATTGTGCATGCCTATAATCTCAGCTATTTGGAGGCAGAGATGGGGAAGATTGAGGTTCAAGGCCAGCCTGGGCAAAAAATGAGGTATTTCCCATCTCTGCAAACAAGTTGGATATGATTGTGTGCACCACTTGTTTTAGCATCTTGAGGTATAGGTGTGACGATCATGAGGCCCTTGGCAAAAATATGAGACCCTATCTGAAAAATAACTGAAGCAAGAAAGGGCTGCGGGCATGCTTTGAGTGGTAGAGTACCTGTCTACCCAAGTGTGAGGCCCTGAGTTCAAACCCTAATACCACCACATAAGTAAGTAAGTAAGTAAATAAGTAAATAAATGAAAATTTGAAATCCAATATGCTCTAAAGTATGAAGCTTTCTCAGCATCATGATACTCAAAAGTTTTGGATATTTGAGCATTTCAGATTTCAGATTATTTAATTGGTTTTAACCTAATAAAAAATGTGTCTGATCAAATAAACCCTTTAAAAGTCTCTAGGAATAAGAAATAAGCAGCAAAGAAGCTCTTGACCTTGAAGAAGCAAACTACCATGTGAAGTCAGCCATGTGACAGATTGATGGACAGTTTGTAAGAGCTGAAGGCCTCAGTCCTAATGTAAAGAACTGAATTCTGCTAACAACCAGTAAGCTAGGAAAAGTTGCAGATGAGATTAATGTTTTAGGTGCGTTCCTATGACATTGAACAGAGAACATAGCTAAACTGTGCTCCGTATCCTAACCCATAGATTCTATGAGATAATAAATGTGTATTGTTTTAAGCTTCTAAATGTAGGCCATTATGTTACTTAGATTCTGGTACTTGAAAGTAGGCCACAAATATCTAAAGTGGTGGAGCAGTTTTGGAACTGGAAAGTGAAGAGATAGAAAGAATGTTGAGGATCATGTAAAGTCTAAAGCACTTTCGGAAGGTCTAAGTCATCTTCATCAGATGACGAGTCATTACCTAGACTCTTAAGGATGCTGTCACTGAAGGTTTAGAAGGAAGTAAGGAGTGTTATTGGAAGCTGGAAGAAAAGATTTACTTGTTATATAGTACAGAAAGCTTAGTGAAGTATCTTGCAGTTATGTAGAAAGCAGAATTTGTTAAGTGAGGAACCTGGTTATATAGCTAATGAGATTTACAAGTATGACAGTGAAAGTGCCACCTGTTTTCTTCTTGCTATTTATATTAAAATGTGAGACAGAAGAGATAAATTGAAGGAAGAACTATTAAACAAAATGGATGCGGACTGGATAATTTTGAAAGTTCTCTAACTCTTCAAATGATAAAAATGTTAAACACCAGAAATGCCTATCAAAATTGTAGTATAAAGGACTGAATATGTGACTATGATCTTCTCTTAAAACTTTAATCAAAAAAAAAAAAAAAAACCAAAACAAGATAGTCATGGAAAGGGAAGTTTTCAAGAGATTGTGTACTTCAGAGATCTATTTACTCAAGCCAGTAGGATGCTTGAGAGTATTGTCCCTCAGCTATTTCAGCCAAAGCCCAAGATATAGGCAGGATTATCTCAAAAAAAAAGTCAGCATATGTGGCTTTGTCTAATAGAGTGAAACCCATGGAAACACCCACAAGAGCCACAAAGATTTTGAGAAATTTATTTCAGCAGAAACGCTGCTGAATTGGACTGAAATAAACTAAGCAAGTACAAAATAATAGATGCTTTTGGACCTACAGAAACTACTGACAGGAAGAAGGCTGATAAAAGTACTGAGATGTAAATATCTACTACCTTTTATGAAAAAGGAAGGATGACTCAGAGGGCACAGCCAA